TCTGAGACATATTTATGCTCAGTAGAGTTTTCTCCTTTTCTTAAATGACTTTAAAGGCAAAAGATCAAAGTTGGTTACATTTAAGTTCTAAAGTAAAGAAAACCATTTTCTTGAAATGCTCAAAGAAGCTGTCATCATGAATGAACTATGAAGTAGAAAGGCCAAGCTGAGAAGATGACAGCAAATGTGGACTGCTGCAGTGACGCTGGGTCAATCATTTTAGGAAGAATAGACAGAAATCATACAAAGGTGCCAAAAAGCAGATGCTACTGCAATGGCATTAGAGACAGATGGGGATTATGCTGTGGCCAGAAGAAGATATTCTACTTTGTCATGATAATGGAAATAATGAAAATTGCATTAGTACATAAAGGTTTATCTCTTTACAATGTCAAAAGTCAAGAAAAAGAGATTACATTACAGACCAAAGGAAGCCATTCAACCAACTACAAGGGAAATTGTTGGAAGGCTGCTTTTACCAAAAACAAAACAAAACAAAACAAAACCAACCAAACCAAACCAAACCAAACCAAACAAAAAAATCACTTCACTAACCCAAGAGTAGGAGACAGTGGCCCTATAGTGCTCCTCTTTAGAGGATTCTAAAGAGACTCTAGTGTACTTCTCAGGGCAGGCAGGCACAGCTGTTGCTTTTAAAATTTCAAAGCTCCAATGATCTTGACCTCTTGTTCTATGATTTTCATCTCCCCACATCCTTACCTCACAGGGTCTGCTTGACTGAGTGGTTCATGTGGCCTCAATATTCAGGAGGAAAACAGACACTCTTTCACCTTACAGTCATGTTTGGCTTTAATTCAGTGGCAGCAGAATTGTTTTCTTAGGGCAGTAGCCTCACAAGTGATACTGACCTGACACAGGGCGTTGGAGAATACAGTGAGTGAAAGCTAGTGCATGTCTAGGGTTGAGGAATCCCCTGTGGAAGCAGTGGGCTTTCAGCCCCAGCTTCAGCTGTTACAGATGGACAGTTGCAGCTCTAGGGGCAGCTGTGGTATGGGGAGTCACATGGGCAAGGCCAGTCCTAATGACCCCTCTGACACTTGTGTGTCGAGTAGGAATAGCAGTGGGACAACTCCCCACCTGCAAATTTTCCCAGGGGGATTCAATGCAGAAGGACAAAAGCAGTGCATCATGGGCATGTACCACATGTTTTTTCTTTCTTTTTTTCCTTTGGGATTATACTTTTAAAAGTTAGTTAGCAACAGGGATCCTCCTACGGACCTCTTATCCAAGTGCCTGAGAAGCTGCTCTGGGCCGCTTCGGGGGAAGGATCTACATTCCGCTCTCTGATCTTGGTTTCTAGTGATCACAGAGCAGCCTCCCTAACTGAGGACTTAACACTATTGTGTTGTCTGCAGAATTTTGTCAGTAGTGACTGTTGCTTCTCAAGGCTAAACATCTCTTTCTATCTAAGCCATCTTCACACATGCCATAAAACAACTGGACTTGAGATTTTCAACAAAATGATCTCCAATTCCTCAAGCTTTCAAATTCTGTGTCTAAGCTTGTGATTAAGGTGAAATTAATTTCACGTTGTTTGGAAATCATGATTGTGAACTTAAAAGTGAATAAGAAGTGAAGTCTTAGTCTTCAACTAAGGATATCAAATTCCCCATGTTGAGTTATCGTCTATCCCTGACAATTTTGCTTTTAATTAAAACGCAGCCTGATAAGCAGAATCTTGGGGAACATAAAGCAGTTATGTGATTCACTCAACCATTTGTATGCAAGTGTGACCTATTTAGCTTTTAAAATCCTATTTAATGCCAAAAACCACATTAGAGAATTTAAACAAAAGCTTACAGGGAGTCCCATAATGAGACTGTTTTGATTATTCCAGTGATTAGCTAATTTCCTCTCTCTTTAGTAATTTCATTTAGAATAGTAGTCATTTTAAGAGCAAGTAGATTTTCTTATTGCTTTACTAGTTTGCTGTGAAATTGGCAAGTGGCCAACCATCTGTGAAACTGCAATTATTACTATTACTTAAAATTTATCAAACCTCTTCAGGTACTATGGAAGTAATCCTTCCTACCTATAAAGAGAAGACCAAGAAAGGCATTAATGAGACCCAACTTTGGGCAAAAATAGATATTATCACCCCATGTTTCAATCTACTAGCCCAAAGTTCCAGAAATGATATTTGTGAACCCTGCTGGGAAAAAGTTGAGTGAACAATGGTTTTGATCCATCACCATAGTCATCTACTCTTCAATGCCTAGGAATTTACTTCTTCCTCTCATAAGAGATACGCGTTCATTTATGCAAGCTTTTATTTGTCTTTGGCATTTATTGAAATGGATGGGTGTGTAGGCTTCTATTGTTATTTATGAATAATTTAAAATAATTCCAGCAGTACTGCCTCTTTTAGGGTCACCTGTTTCTTTCTTGCTTTTTTACTTTTTACATGGTTAGCAATGAAACAGCAGGGAGGATGCTCGAGATAGCACCACTGGAACGCCTCTCATTTCTCTACCAGCCCTGGCCATAGATGATTCAAAGAAAGAGGTCTGAAGAGTCAGGTTGAGGCCAGTGCTGCTCTCCAGTAGTAAGAATCCACAAACACTATCACCATTGTGAACAGGTGTTGTCTCCACCCCGCTGTTCTCCTGCAGACAGTGAGAGCTATTGTCAGGAAGATGTAGCAGTCCACTGTGATGCTGGCTTCCCAGGGGGAGGGATGGACCAGTGCATTTCTTAAAGCCGATGACCACACTGGCGGGTTCATCTGGATTACACCAGGTCTACACCTGTCGTCCGGGCATCATTATTATTAAGAGTGCCTACTTTCACTTTTGAAAGTGTTAACAATTGGATAATGAATTGCATGTTCAGCCTACTTAATGTCCCTACTTAATATCCCCTTGTAGCTCTCTCATCTATTAGGTGACCTAACATTTACATTTTAAGCCTGTACCAGTAGCTTGAGGCAATGAGTTCAGGAAGATTATTCTCCTTTGTGGAAAGTAATATTTACCTTTATCTGTCCTGAAATTGTCCTTCAAGCATTATGGGATTGGTCCTAGCTCTAATGCTGAGGGTCAGTGAACAAGCTCATTTGCATGCTTTTACAGATTTTAGTTTTGTCCACACCAGGCCTTTGTCCATCCAGATGGATGGCCCTAATCTTACAGCCTATTCCCAGAGACCGCCACCCTCTGATCATTAGCTTTCCTTGCTAATCAGGCTGCAGTAGTGTTTGGAGGCAACTTGTCTGGCTGTCTGAAAAGTTATGCACAATGGTTTGTCCTTTCAGGCACTGATGAAAAGCCATCTGGTAGGGGAAGGGCTTTCCAGCTGTATTATAATTTTTTTTGAATTAAACGTTTTTTCTTTCTTTTTTTTTTTAACCAAATGGAGAATGAAAGGACCCTGCCTAGGTGGCTCATAGCTCTCTCTTTATGCTTGTAGAAGAAAGAAGAAAGAAAGAAAAAGAAAGAAAGAAAACAGGGAGAAGAAAAGGAAAAAAAGAAGAAAAGAAGGAAAAAAGAAATAGTGTACATAACTAAGAAGGAATATTATAAATTCAAAATACTATTTGCAGGAGAAAATAAAGCAAAATTTGCTTTGTCATTTTATACTTCAGGCCTGAATTTGAAGGGCCAAATATTGTGATTATAAAATGTTCCCTAGAAGTGTGCATTTAAGTGGACATGGTGATTTCTTCCTTTCCAAGACACAGGAATTTTACAGAAAAAAAAGAAGAAAGGAACATTTTGTAATAGAATATCTTATGCTTGTACTTTGTATTTATGGTTTATAAGTTTGAGTCCCTTAAGATGTATTAGTGTCTTCCATGTGCAAGATGTTTTGCTGGGCACTGAAAAATAGATAAACTGGTCCTAATTTCAGCTGCTATTTTAGACATTACGATTTGTTTTCTTGTGGGACATCAAGACAATTAATATATTACGGCCTTCCTGCTGAATTTTCCTTGTTTCTATTTTTCTTTCATGCTAACAGTCACGAGAATCACTCAAGTGCTTCCTTACCATTGCAAGGACTTTCAAGTTCTTTAGGAAACCCAGGTCTTTCTCTTAAGAAAACAAATCTTAATTCATAGGGAAACATGACATACATTTATTGTATATACGATCTAAGCCCCAATCAGTTGGAACTGCTGGACATTTGGACATAGACTGGGCTGAAGTTCAACTTTATTTCATTTTTGATCAAAGACCTAAATGTAAGTAAACAATACAATACATTTACATTTTTTCAAGGAAAAAACTTATTTAAACTGAGAGTCACATTTCTCAAGCAAATTATTTATGTTAAGTACATGCTATTCTATTTATAAAAGCAGCTCATGATGGATCTCAACCTGAGAGCACTTTATAAAGCACTTAGTGTGCTACAATTCATTTTTTTCCTGAAAAATGAATGTTTTTCTTTAAAAATTTTTCTTAATATATAACTCAGACACACAGTCTTCTTGGCTCATTTAATTTTTGAGGTCTGATTGCAAAAATTGACAAGAATATGTATTTACAATCTAGGTACTTAGGGGGTTGCAAAGTGACAGCAGTTAGTGCAGGAGGGATGATTATAAGATGCTGTGTAAGTTCTGAGCAGAAATACGAGCAGCCTCTGCTTTATAAATGTTGCACTCTGGAACAATGTTCATCCATTAAATCTTGTGTGCCAAGGCCAGCATACACAGAACTTTCTTTTTTATGAGAAACTGCTTATTGGGGGTAAATTTATATTGTCTTACATGTGTTTTAAGTGTGGGTTTGAAGCCCCAGAGCATTCTTATATACCAAGATAAGCAATTAACTTTACAAACTATGAACATGTTTAATTTGGCTTTTGAAACTACAGTTCTGAGACCAACTATGCCCTTCCTAATTTGGAAATATTTTCTTTCTGGTTATTTTGACATGTACCCAGCCATCTACTTTTGTTGCTATTTCTAGCATCCCAAGGGAGCTGCTTCCATGGTTGTCATAGTGCAAACAAACACATAAGGAAACCAAGAATTCACTGCTTTCATAAAGCATTTATTTTTATTTGAAAACATTATACAGGCATTACATTGCCACAGCCAGTCCATAGGGGAGCATGCAAATATCAAAAATGGACAGTTTGTTGAACTCATCGGTGTAAATTTTTTTTTTTTTTTGGTTCATATTTTCCATTTGCAGTGTTGTCAGAATTAGTGTGCTTTGTTATGTGGCTTAACAATAGAATCCTACCCATGGGGTAAAATCTGTACTGGTAGCTAGCTGGGGACTACTAAATGGTTATAAATCAAAAAGAAACTGAAAAAACAATACTACACGCTTGTCAAAAGGTTAATAGCACAAGTTAGCAATATCTAAACTAAACATTGAAACAATTTCATGGGACACGGTGGTGCAAATTTTTTCCACTGCTTGGTCTACCTGGTCATGTATTTGAGTCTGAAGCTGTGGGAAGGTCTGACCAAGGCAAGCTCTGTCCCCAGTGAAGTTTTCATTGAGGAAGTGAGAACCACCACTTAATCTCTAGCAGGGTTTAGGAGAATTGTGGTTTGCTCTTACCTGATCAAATTCTATACAAATTGCTAAAGTCTTATTCACTGAGGAGAGATTGGTGGTGGACTGAACAACTGAAATTTTTGCTGGTGTCTACTGAGGTTATGAAAGCTCAGAAACTAAAATAGCTAAAGTTAATGTTGTCCTAATCCCATTTCCCACCCCATTCCCAAAGGATCAATGTTTTTTATACAGAAAAAGAATTTGTTCTTTGCAACTTGCAACTTTTTTTCTGGAAGGGTCAGTCTGGAACTCCTGATCTTGAACAATTCAATATATTATCAACCTTTCTAAATGGAGACAAACCAACACATTGAGGTCACTCAGGGACATGAAAGTCTGAGTACAAGGACACTGAATGATAAAGGGTATACAGTAAATTCATCTTAACATTCACACTTGGTTTCCATACAATGGAGTCAATTAAAATATCCTATAAAATAATTCAGATGGCAGCCTTTAGCCATCTGTTGATTGCAAACTTTTTGGAAATTTGTATTTTTAAAAAATTCCAGTCTACTGAATGGACGTGGAAATAATTTCATCCACTTGCTTCTCATAAGACTTTACTAAGTGTCTACAAATTAATGTCATAAAAATGAATCAAAGACGAAAACATCTGGCTTAAAATAAATACTAAAAATGCAATAAATCAAATTATGCAAACCAAAGGAATGTAAACACAAAAATAAAACCACAGTCTTTAAAGGTCTTCGGATCTGAATGGACAAAATATTCAGAGAAAGGTATTTAATTGGTTTAAAAGGTAGCAGAGAGAAGATATTGGCAAAGTTGTTTTGTTGATAGAACTTCATTAATATTTTCCCCCATGGAAAATAAAACACACTTCCTAGGGGGCTGCACTGAGATGACCATCACATCTGAGTATCAGAGAAGATAATTTTTCTTCTCCATCTCCAAGGGTAGGTCCACTCACCCTGTGTAGAAGGCAGGCCAAAAGGCGGTGTGGGTGCTGACAGGCAGTGTTGGATGCTTTTGCCTGCCAGATTTAGGCCTTGTACAGGCACTCTGGGATCAGTCCTTCTACTGTAGTCTGTCCTTTCGCTTTCCAGAGACCCCAGTGGTGTTTTGCTTTGCTTGCTTGTGCAACATACATTGACTTGAATTGCCCAATGTCTCCTAAACATGTATTTTCCCCCTATAAACCCTGTCACTCCATTGAGGATCTTTTTGAATGCTATTGAAGTCAGCCAAACTAAAAGAGTACATCACATACTGACACATAGAATCTATTCGAAATAATAGAGGTCTGTGGTGTTTCTTAATTTCCTGTGTTTGAAAAAAGGGCTATTTTAAGGGCAACAGATTAGACTAGTGACATATCGCTCAAAGTCTTATCAGGATCCTGCAATATTCTCTGTATCCATAAGAATGTCATGTCAATATACTCTGCTATTGAATGAATGCCAATATGACCAAAACGCCAGACTTTTTCAATGGTGACATCGTTACCACCGCAAAGAGGCCAGATCAATTAAGCCATTTTCAAATACTGCTCCACATCAACACCTTGACTTTGTTAGGAGGTGGCACAACCAATGATTTTCTACAACAAAGGTAATTTTCATGCTGGTACATTTCAAAAAGGGTGTCACACAATTAAAAGGCCAGAGGACCATGGCTTTTTTCAGTGCCTTGATTAATTTCCATATTATCACTAAGGAAGTTTAGAAAAAAAATAAAAAGAGCAGAGGATCATGGCTTTTTCCAGTGCCTTGATTAATTTCCATATTATCACTAAGGACATCTAGAAAAAAAATAAAAGATAGTTTTTGAAGAGAGACTACAGGGAGGGGCAGAAAGATTTGAAAATTATATATTGCCCAAACGCAAATGATATTATCTTTGGGGGCTCCCAAAAGTCACATAAATAGAACAGTCCTTATCCTGTTATTACAGGGGCTTGATTAGCAGAATCACGTGGCACAACAGAAAGGCAATGGCCTGGAGTAATCAGAGATCGAAATATAAAAAGGCTAAAATGTTTGTTTTATATCTATTCCTAGAATAGAGAATTATATGGTCAGTTGCCCCTCCCCACAAGGGTCATAGCACAAAATACTTATTGAGCAGGCAATCCAACAGGTAACAGGGGAAACCATTAGCCACCAGGTCCCTAGGATAAGGAAACTTCTCAGGGGTGGAGCTCCTGTGGCATGCATCACTCATATAGTCTGTGCAAAAAAATAAAGTATGACTCTTAGAAAGTGAATTGCCATAGAAAAGTGGGATTTATGTTGATTACATGTGGGTCTGGCAATAGTTTCCATCAGGAGTACAAAACATCCTCCTGAAAGTTGGTGTAATAACAGTAACAATAATAATACAAATAGTAATAACAATAATACTTGCTTTTGATTCAAAAATTTTCACAGTAATGAATGCAGGGGAGTTGTGATCAGGATACGCATTAGCTAGGCATCTTTCCAAGTCAGGTGGATTGGAGCCTGTGTCTCCAGTGATGTTGAGCTTGTTTCTTTCACAAACTTTTGGAGGATTTGCTACCTTGCAGTCCACCTGTGTAAACTGCACCTAGTAAATACCTTTCTCTATGTACAATACAGAGATGATGGGCAAAAACATGGCCAATGAGTTGGCCTCGGTGGGCAGGGCGGGCCTCATTCTAGGCCACACGAACATGAGGCTCCTCTTCAGTCTCCTGGCCCAGGCTGGTGTAGGTGACTGAGGGTTCCACCTGAGCTGTGGTCGGTAAGTCCACAACAGGTCCTGAAGGATTGCGAAACTGCTTATACACCCGGGGGTCCTGGGCTATGTAGGTGGAGGTGGAGGAATAGAGCACCAGCCCGATGAGGATGGTGAAGAAAGACAGGAGATAAAGTCCTGAAAACTAAAAAAACACAACAGTAAAGTCATTTGGCAGCCCAGACAGAACCACTGACACATTAATGAGGCACAAAGACATGAGCAGAGCTGCTTCCCCTCAGAACAGGCAGTGTGATAAGCCGGCCAATACCCTTGATGGAGAATGAATTTTCTCATCCTAAACTGCCTCAGTCTTATTGATTTCCCTTATTTTTCGTAGACCTGTGGGTAACACAGAGGAACACTTAGCTAATCATGTCTAAAGTGCCAATCTGAGGATCTGGTATAGCGGGAGAACTAGTTAAGCACAAATTAAAATGCATCAGGTTAAAAGCAAAAAATCTCCAGTATCCACTCGATAAAAAGCTGATTGGTTGTGGCTTCATTAAACCTAGTGGAAATATAGATATCCCCTTTAGGGTGTAACAAAGCCATAAACAACAAACTCCTCACTGACAGCTGCATCAGGGCACTCTCATTTCACCTTAATCCACTTCAGACACTAATTGTCTTCCTAGTAGGAATTGTTACTGACTTTGGTAAGTATCTTTGCAAGATTAGATTATCCTTGTACAGAAAGAAAGAGTAAAACATTCCATTCTGCCCCACTAATCTATAAACAAAACCAAACAGGGCTGTATATACAACATTCTGCTTCCTAATCTACTTGCTTGGCAATTCATAGAGTTTGGTGGCAGGGGAGGGAGATAAAATACTAGTTTATACAAGTCCCAAGAATTTACATATGTTTTTGGAAAACTATGACTTCTGGACCTTCTTGAGTAGTTACACTGGAAGTAGTTACTTCAGTAGTTACTGGGGAAAGAGTTCGGTAACAATATGAATATTGCCATCTCTAGTGTTTCATTCATTCATTCATTCCTTCATTCACTCCTTCATTAAATGAATAGATTCTTATATGCCTTCTCTATATCAGACATTGAACTATGTACTGGGGAAAGAGAAATGAAAAATATGTTGATCCCTACCATTGAGGACTTAATTGTCTCAGTGGCTGAACAGGTACAGAGAGACAAAAACAACACAATGCACTTACACAGCATGCCATATCACATTTGAGTCAATAGCTAATATCCCAGTCTTGACCACATCCTGCATTCACGGGGAGAAAAGGATTTTATTGTCCTGAAAGAACTAAAAACTGCTAAAAAGACAAAAATTAATTGGAAGTTGGAAGAAAGGAAAACAGGAAAATGACCTGGAGATTCTATGAAGTAAGTTACAAGGCTATCATAAATATATGTTCAATAATAGGAAGGGGAGTTTTGAAAATGGCTCAGAAAAAAAGGTATCCCTGATGCTAAATGTCCCTGCTACAGTGTTTTTTTCTTTCTTTCTTTTTGCAGCAGCAAGGGAGCTAAACTAAAGATGCTTTTCTGATTTTCTTTCTAGGGCACTCCACACCCTGTCCCTCAATTCCTTTATTTTCCACATTAAAACTATATGATAACCCCACTTCAGATGGATTTATGTACTCGACTCAGCTTGTAACAGCTTCACTTAATTAACTTGACATAATTAATTCACTTTTCCCAATGAAAATAAATGTGCCTTATTCTTGGATTCATAAATTTGTAAAATAAAATGGTAGAAAAAGAAGATCACTAACAGTACAATCGTGTATGATCTCAGAAAACCTCTTTACTCCCAAAATTGCTTCCTAAATTCCATATTCAGGAGCTTAACCCTTTACCCGAAACTTCGGTGAATGAAATAGGTCTGTTCCTAACATTACCATCATTTCAAATATTTTATTAATTACTTTCACTTTCAAAACTCTGCCCATACATCTCTAGTTTCAAGCAAAGGGCCTTAGGTGTGAACCTGCCTCTGCTGCAGCATATGGAAGTAGAGAGATGCCGAATGAGCACTTTATAGCTATCACTGCATTCTAACCACCAAGCTGGCTTCAAACCTCAGCTCGACCAATTTCCAACTGCAATTCTGGACACATTTCTTAACCTTTCCAGGTCCAAGCTTCCTTATCAGTAAAGCACACCTAGTATAGGGTGGTTATAAAGATTAAATAATAGAAGGCATGTAGAACACTTATCATAGTTCCTATCTTGCTGTAAACATTCAATTCACATTAGCTTCATTCTTGTTTTTGTTATTACTATAGTACTTATTTAATCATTGTAATACTGATATATGTTATAATAAACTGTTATAATCATTGATTAAATTGTCTTTTTTTTTTCTTGAGGCAGGGTTTCATCGCTGTCATCCAGGCTGGATGCAGTGGCACAATCACGGCTCACTGAAGCATCAACCTTCCAGAGTCATGTGATCCTCCCACCTCAGCTTCCCAAGTAGCTGGGACTACAGGCACCTGCCACCATGCCTGACTAATTTTTGTATTTTTTGTAGAGACAGGGTTTTGCCATGTTGCTCAGGCTGGTCTTGCATTCTTGCACTCAAGCTATTCACCTGCTTTGGCCTCCCAAAATGTTAGGATTACAGGCATGAGCCGCCGTGCCTGGCCTAAATTGTCTTTTTTTCAATAGTCTCTTGATTGCGAGGTTACGTCTTGTTTGACCAATGTCAATGCCTAGTAGATGTCAATGTAGACATCTACTAAGCATTATTATTTGCCATTTGTTTTTTTATCTTGAATGAATAATGGAGAAGTTTATGGGGAAGTTTCAGACTAAAGAAAGAAACATAATAAAAAATCAGCCTGTACCAGTGGAGTATTTCAAATTTTTTATCTTTAAACCAGATAATACAATGCCTTTCTAGTACATAAAATGCTAAACAAAAATCTGTTAAGAAGGAAGTCATAGTATGAATCTACAATGATTGACTCCAAAAATCACCTTCAAACCTGGGGTCAGTCAGAGGAGTGTGATAGGATGATGAATTGGAAGAGACAATGAAGAAAGCTAGTCTGGATAGAAGACTCAGGGCTGTTGATCTGTGGACTGGCATAGGAAATGTCATAAACTTGGGGTGGGCCGGATTTGGCAACTGAAATAATGCAGTGGTAGAGACGGGAAAGGATCATATGCAGAGTATCCAGGTAGAAGGATTGCATTCCTCTCCATTTATGATTTTAGATCTCATATTCTGACTTGATCAATATGACAAAGAATATACTATTAAATTTTGTAAAGCTAATGCCCTCGCCATTGTAAGAAATGATACTTTAATGTACTGCTTAAAGGATCATCCCTTTTTTGGACATGGAACCATTAGGTTGAGTGAGAAATTCGTTACAGAATTGTTTTCTTGGGACACAGCTTTAGCATAATAACATGTAGTTTATTTTTAGTGCACTTCTACTTAATTCATATGGAATTCAGTCAAAAAATAGCTCCAAAGATAGATAGCATGGGATTTTATATGATGGAAGCATCTTGGAAGTTACCCAAGAGGCTTTATTAATAAATGATAGAGAGAGTTTTTATTTTATATACAAACCCAAAAAGACAAAAGACAAGCAAGCATGATGATTAATCAGGATAAATTTTGAGTATTATAAATGCTGACAGAAAGGTTTTTAAAAATAAAAGTAAAAAAAAAACTTTTATTTTTCCCTCTTTTTAGGTTGAGAAAAAGAAAATAGAATCAGGGGTACCTAATAGAATGATCCCCAGTTCTGGATGCTGGGGATACTTACCTTGTAGGGCATTCATTTCAAAAACCAATCAAATATCAGACAAAAATATTGTACAATCTAAGCTGCTTAACTTACCATCTGCAAAGAAATACTTATATCTAGCTCCCCAAGCAAAGAGACCAGGAACTTCTCTGGAACGATGAGGACTGAAAGCTGTCTATGAGTTACAGGTAAGGGAAGTTCAGGCAGAGGCTCACTGTCTCCACTGGAGAGCAGGAGCTGCTTGCTGTCCAAAGTGTACTTTGAGATCTTCCCCTTTGCAAACTGCAGCCATCAGAGTATGCTGTCTGAACTGTGCTGCAGACACGCTTTTTCCTGCTTTGTATCTAACTGGAAACTTTAAGAATCTGAGAAAGGATACATCCTGTATTAACACAACCACACTGCAGACACAATTTACTTTGCTGCTGTCTTTTTCCATCTTCATGAGTCTCTTTGAGAACAAGGGTCAGAAGGCACTCACTGTACACACTGGAAATCCCTGAGTGCTGCTTAAAACAATCTGACTGAGACACAAGCTGTTATACAGGATGGGGTGGCTTGGAGGATAGTAAGCCTGTACAAAGCTCTTTAACTTCCAACCAGAGTTAAAACCTAGCTCTTAGAAAGAAAGCTGGCCTGTCAGTTTGATTGCTGTTTGGTTAATGTGACATTCAGCACATCACAGACCAAATTTTCATTTTATTTTTGGCATTAAACATCTAAGTTGAATTTTAATAAACCAATGACTTCAATGGATCTAAATCTATACAAGTAGAAAACCATGTGGTTTGAAAGTCATTCCAAAGTACATTTATAAATACATTGACTAGACTATGTGAAGAAGAGGGCAATGCTTCAAGGGCAACTTTCTTTTTCTAGCTTGACTGAAAAGATGGCAGAGGTCAGCAGAGGAGAACATAGGTGATCCCTAGAGAGGTGCAATGAGGACTTTGGGTTTCAGCTTGACTTTTTACTGAATGCATGTATCAACTATACAGTGGGCCTGGTTTTCTCCTTTTTCCCTGGGAAGTGTACCTTAAAGCGTTCCTTTAGGCATACATCTCCGTGTAATACAGCTTTTGTAAGGCTCCTAGCTTGATGTGGTGATGCATGTCTATAGCCCTAGCTACTCAGGAGGCAGAGGCAGAAGTCTGAGGCGGCAGTGAGCTATGGTCCTGCCACTACACTATACCTGGGTGACAAGCTGTCTCTTAAAAAAAAATACACACACTCTCTCTTATCATATCTATGGGCCCCTTCTGCTGACCTGATACGATCTGCCTTCTGAAATTGCATTCCTATAATGAATGCTTGTTTTCTTTGAGCACAGGTGAGTAGCCTAAGAGAACACTGCCCCCCATGGCTTCTCATGTACCACACATGAGTGAAGCCTAATTTTT